AGTCGTATTAGTAAATTTGTTTTGACCAGTCTACAGTTGGTGTCGAATGTCTTCATTTCTTCTCATCAAACATTTATTTTTAGCTCCAATGCAGCCTCCCAGGAAGAGACCTTTCAGAAAGACAATTGCATCCGAGGGTGACACCGTTATTATATCGTTCGGCAAAAATGACACAATGATAATGAGGCTCTTGCGTGGTGACATAACGCAGTTAAAGTTCGGTGCATTGAAACATAATGATGTGATCGGCAAACCCTATGGAAGTCGCGTAAGTTGTAAGTTATTAATTTAGTTTTTGGACTTGTTTCTCCAGTCCAAAGCTAAGTAGGCCCTACAAACACTTATTATTCTTCTATACCTCACATGCCTGTTGCTGTATTCAACTTTGCAGATTAATACTTCTCGGGGACACGTCTATCTCCTTGCTCTCGATCCTGCACTCTGGTCAGCGTCACTTCCTCACCGGACGCAGATAATATACCCAACTGACGCTAGTATGATCGTCGGGCGACTTGATCTAGTACCCGGCTCCCGCGTCATGGAAGCTGGCACAGGCAGTGGAGCTCTGACGCATGCCCTGGCTCAAGCGGTCTGGCCAACAGGTTGCGTGCGAACTTTTGACTTTCACCAGGAGCGTGTAAACCGAGCCAGAGTTGAATTTGAGGTAAGTGCAGCCCTGGAGCTTGCTTACGATTGCTTTATTTAATAACTGCTCACCTATATGATACTAAACGATACTAATAGTGGTAATGCATGGAAATGCTACCCCCGGTATAAAGGTAGTCTTGCGCTGGATTCGAGAAGATTGGGGTTAAGGTTGGGAGTAAGCTAAGGGTTAGCATTTAGTTTGCGTTTAGGATTAGCGCTAAAACAAGGCTATAAGTACCCTTCCTGGAATGTATCACGTCAACTGGATAACTAGGAGCAGGGGGTTCCTATTCTCGCGTCTCACGGAAATAATTGACCAGACCTAATTATTATTCATTTTGGATAGGTGAACTTCTAAATAGGATAATTGGCTTCTGCGGCAGCGTTCAAAGTTCTCCAGTCATCGAAGC